AATGGACTGTTATTTTTTTTGTTCTAAAAACTTAAATATTTAGTATAAAAATAATACCTTTTCAAATCTATGTCTTACTTTGGATTATTGCAGTGTCTTTCTTGATATGTGACCCCACCTCCACAAGTGCGAGTACACTCTGACCACTCAGACCAGGCAGACCATTGGCCATTTACAGGCTTGGGTCCATGATCACCATATTTGACACACTGTCCTCTTCGACACCACTGCCAAAAGAATGCCAAAAAATATCCCATCAGAGTTAGCGGTACCTAGTAGATGCAAAAAAGAAAAAAATCCACATTTAAAAGCTCCAGTGCTTAACCCTAATAAACATGAGGTCACCCACTGAACTCAATGAGATCATTTATAGCAGGACAAGGGCTCTGAAGTAGGACACTGACCCCTACAATGGTACAGATAAGTAATATCCTAAAATTTGTCCAAGTACTGAGTTTAAGATCTTTGAGGTACAAATTTTCAAAATTTTTCTCTTGGAGAGTATCTTTTTGGCTTTCTCTTCCCCAAAAATCCTTGTTAATTTATGGTCCTATGCTGTCAGAACCTCAAAACTTCCCATGCAATTTAAAAATAGGCTGCTAAAATTTCTCCCTTTTGTCATTCAATTATGAAATATTGCACAAAGAGAAAAAAGCAAAATAGAACATTTGTCAGTAACTTGCAAATAAAAACAATATTATACTGGAAGAAACATTACAGCAAAATTCTGGGTAACTATAGGTGAGTGTAAATTAGAAGGTTCAACTAAAACAAATAACCATGCTCTTTTAGAATTGATCACTGATGATAATATACATGATGGCATTAATCTTTACAGCAAATTTTATGGCTTAAGGAATGTTTACATCAGAGTGTAGTTTGAAGCCTTCATCTAACTTCTGTTATAATTAATGTTTTTTCTTACTGATTTAGATTTGCCAGATATATCTTATTCCATAGCTCATGGGAGAGGCATCACTTCCTACCATCAGATAGGTGCCACTGTGAGGACCAGTCCCGACTACATATGACAATGCAGTCTTTTACAGGGCAACCAGAAGTCCATGATAGCAAACCTGGAGGGATCTGGATAAAACTGGTTTTGACAGGAGCTGGTATTTGACCCAATACAGTCTGAAAACAAGTTAGAATGACATTGTCCTATTTATAAAGCAACTTACCATACTTATACCACAAGCTGTTCCTTCTGCTGCTGGCATGAACTTTGTCTCACACCTATGACCCACTTTGTGACACCAGAGAGATTTGCATATATCCTGAAAAGAAAAAGACTACTTACTATAGTGCTCATAACTCCCATTATTTCCTCATGTTTAGAAAGAGTAACAAATGACACATGCCTTTGCTACCTCCAAAGACATATAAATTAAACCTTTTTTCAATTTAGAAAACCCAGGGTTTAAGATTCATAGTACAGCCATATCCTGTATATTGCCTTCTTCTTTATACACCATTTCACTATGTATTTTCCAAACCTTTTTGAGTGTGAAACTATAATAGAACAACAACTGTGTTAAAAAGTTCCAGGCTAAAATTTAATCAAGTTTACAGTGACTATAGTACTGTGAACAGACTAGATTTTCTACAACACAGGAGATATCTGGAAATAGTCTCTTCACAGTGCTGTTCACTCTCTCTTCTTTGTTTATTAGCTGTAGAAGAAACACAGCTGCCACCACCTGATAAATGTGGTTAGTATAAAATAAAATACTCCAGGATAATCACATGAGTAAAAGAAATGACAATACTTATTTTCAGAATGAGCACTCCAGATTATTTAATAAAATGTCTTCTCTGAAGAGATCAGCAAGGATCAGCTGTCACTAAAATAATCGGTTAGTCTAAATTAATCCTTCATCACAAAGTCAAGAGTATATGTTACGTTTTTATTGTTCTAAAATAACTGTATAGAACTTTTCCAGACTTTGGTCAATTAATGAGTAAAATAAAACAGATGAAACTTAGTCCTTCTTACCCCACACCCCACACCCTGTTCAAGTTTTGATCAAAACTTTACTGCCTGCTGATTTCCCTTAGCATAGTAGGCAAGGGTTCATGGGTCTTCGACTGCTCTCCTTCTGACTCCTGGAAAGAACACATTTCCTTCTGAAACTCCCCTGGGATTGTGATATTACTCAAAAGAGGCCAGTACCTTCAAAGAAAATTGCCAAGCAAGAGAAGATACAGAGATAGCCCAGGCCTCTGAAGAACACTGGATTACTTGTACTTATTTAGGGTACTGCAGTTCTCTAATGAAGTTAAATTACTTTTCAAAAGTATATCAAGAGATACCTTCACAAAGCTGAGATTGCACAGTTTTGCTTTCATTCCAAATTGCCATTTGCACTGGGTATCAGCATCATAGATCTGCCCTGGCAGTTTGTCAGGGTATTTATACTGTCCTGTTTGCTTAGGTTCATCAATCAGGCAGGCAGCTTGAGCTGTACTGTAATGAGAATGTATGTTAATCATGACTATGATCTTTATATCAAAATATTTTAATTTGCTACAGACCAGTAAAAATACATAATATGGTATACAGTACCTTTAACTGGCTTTAGAGGTATGCACTGAAATGAGACTATCTGCTTGCAGGAGCCAAAAGATCTTGACATCTTGTTGGTAGCCTGACCTGCAAAGTTTTAAGGAAGCAGGAATTTCCAGGCTTTAGGACCTTTGTATATGCTTGAGAACCCACGTATATATAAGGTCACTCTATGCTGGATTTGTCCTCAAGTGTACATCGCTTGGACAATATTGCATGTTGGAGGGCTTATGTGACCTTTTAGTTTGCAGTTTGCTAGTGTACTCAGAATATGTTGCATCATTGCAGCAGAAAAAAGTCACCAGAACTCTGTCACCTTTCCTGGCCACTACTCTAACATACTAACTTGGAATTCAAGGATCGGATCCACAGAACTATCTAGGTGCTTGATTCTCACTCTAAGGAATTAACACCTAAAATGCCTGTATTGGATCTGCATGCTAGTACCACTTACATATTTTTTAGTAATCATGTATAGTCATGTATGACAAAGAAAAGAAAGCTGTACAGGAAAGGACTGCAATTTTGATGATATTAAACATAGACCGAAAAACAGTTCCTTTAAAAGCATCACTGAGTAATTCCAACATACTGGAGAAATAATTGGCATCTTTCTCTTTTTTATTTTTTTTTTCCTTCAGAAACAGCACATGAAAAATGTAAAATGTCCTTATTCATGACATGAGCTAGATCAAGAGAGAAACTCCAGTGAGAGAGGCCACTAATGTTAATTTACATTTTGTAATGACTTTGGTACCACTGTGTCTGCCCTCTTTTGTGTTCACTTCCTACTAATTCTCTAATAAACCTAGCTGCTGACAGGAATGCTTGGGAAAGAACGATATGCCAGTCATTACTGCACGATATTCCTGGAGGGTGAAAATCATTCTTTTGAAATAAGGCAGGACAAAACCACTTACATGCCATACAAGCTATACGCTTCATAAGTCCAAGTGTGTGGGCTCAAATGGTACACTGGTTTGAGCACATTTTAAAAGAGGTGAATTTCACACTTAACTAATTTTTATGTCTGTTCAAGAGTTCAAGCCCAGTTACTAAAGATACATTCCCTGGCACCAGCCCAGATTTACATCTGACCTACCTGAGAAACTTGTTGAGATACTGCCTGCTGCATACAGACCAAGAAAACACTCCATTGTTTCCTGTGAGTGTGGGAGACATAATATTACCCTCAGCTTTTCTGCAAGGATTTCCTTCTCCATCATGAATCATACCAAAGCTGAAAAGAGAACCAGGCATGAGAGTGAAAATCTAGATTAAACAGAAGCAAACACAATTTGGTGCAAAAGAAACACTTTCTGGGTAACAGCTCTACGCTTGAACTCCATGGGGAATGTGGAATACATCCCTTTCATTCCAAAGGGATGAAAACATATGCACCATACAAATGACTGTTAGTGTGAAACTAGTTCCAATTAATAGCATTCAGATTTTATTGCCATCACACACTTGTCTGCTGAGAAAGAGAGTCAAGTTTCAATAAAGACCCATACTGGTGATGCACAGGAGCTCTGCAAGGAGCTAATGACAAGACACTGGCACATAAGTACCAGAGCTGCAGGCTCTGATAGAAGTCCTGAAGGAGAAATGTTTGGTGGTGAGATGGATGGAAATAGTGAATCTTATGTTCAATCAGACTTGTACTTGCCTATAAAACTATCAGCTTAAAACATGCATGCAGCCTGATCCTTTCTTTGGCTGGTGATAATGCCTGTTAACATGAATGGTGTGGAGATCAGAATCCAGGGAAATACCAGTGCTACACAGCTGTAAGGATATAACGCAACTGTCCTAATAGGAGGGAAGAACTACATAGATGTGTTCAATGTGTAGCAAAAGAAGTGGCATTGAATGAATTGAATACAAAGTATGAATATAAAAAAGTGATTATTTTTCTAATTTTGGCCACTAACTTGCTATATTATCTCAGGAAAATAACTTTCTTTTCCTCGCCTTTGTTATGCGCTGCCACTTACTTTGTCTAGACTGTAACCTCTTTAGTGGGAATACTGCCTCTTATGGGGTGCTTTGTGCAGTCTGCAGCATCATGAGGCCCTGCTTTCACTAGGAGAGGTGTTAGGATAACATAAAGAATAATAAGCAATAATAAGAACCACGTTAAAAATGATAAATTATGTGGAGCTTATGGTTAGGATAATGAAGCTCATTTTCAGGTTTTTTCCTTTCACTGTTTTATAGTTACTCACTGTACAGGACATCTGTGAATTTCAATGTGTTTTGAATAGAAATTTCATAATCTGTTACTTCAACATTGTAGTACATTGGCAACTTTATGAATGCAATCTCTTCACGTGCAGGGAATATCTAATTTACTGGACTCGATCCTCCACTGTTATAAATCATTGCAGGCTCATCAGAGTTACTGCATGTGTTGCCAGCAGCTGAGGCTCCAAACTTGCTAAAATATATGGCTCCTTCTATAAATGGACAAAAAAAGTCCTAACTGAGCTAGTATTTTAGAATCCTTTATAAAATACTAACTTTGTTCACATGCATTGCAGCCAAAGAATCCACGGTTTATCTACCCACTGACACAATGGGCTCTGAACTCCTGAAGGAACTGTTAAGCTTTCAGGTAAAAACACAAACTACTTAAAGAAAACCATAAAAATTTATAACAACTGAAGCCACTCAGTGGATCACAGAGTGTAATCCGTACAGTATACAATATTCTCCTGCTATGAAATCCTTAGGCTAATATATTCACAGTGGACCTCAGCACCTCCATAGCTGTCACAGTTGGGTTTTTTTCTTCCAATAAGCTCTGTATCACAAAGACCAAGTTCTGTTGTCTTACATCACATACTAGGTAGTCTCAAGAACATGCAAACAAACAAATGATAATAAAGACATTTTGTATCTGGGGCAGATGTTTTCCAGAAGACTAGATGCATTTTATTAGACAGGAGTATGGACCTATACCAAAGAAAAGCTGAATAATATGACAATCAAGGCAGTGGTGAAAAAGAAAAAAAAAAACCAAAAACCAAAAAACCAACACAATATTAAAAAATTTCCAAGCATAATCTGTCAAAGCAAACAAGAAAACAGAAGGAAGAACATTAAGAGGCTGAAGGGGAGAATTCTTGAAAAATAATCTATGGGCATGATTTTGTCCTAATAGTGTTCGAAGGGCATTAAAAATGTACTGAGGTCAGTGACATTGCATTAGTGTGACAGGAAGATCAAACAATATATATTTTACATATTTGGTCCTATTGAAAGTGTTGGCACCATTCCCACGGGCTTCACTGGTAGCTGGATTATTCTTTAATTCTTTGTTTCCCTTCAGATGTACAGAAACCTGTGAAAGGGTCACTCATGTAGACATTAGGTCATAGTATATACTGTAGAGCATATCTGTACAATGAAAACTAAATAGTCCTGATTCAGTCATGCAGAATCAGAAGGATTCATGCCTTGACCAAACAGCAGAATACAGTACCACTGCTTTTCAAAGATATTCTGTGCAGTAATGTTGCTGCACAAAATAAAGATCCTATGCTCACGTTTTATCTGACCCTTGATTTCAGGCTTGTACCGCATAGAGAAAATATGCTTCTATACTGTCAGTGGTTAGACAGATTCCTGCTTGAGCTGTGCTAAAACTGAAAATAAAAACCATGCAAAAAATTGTGAAAAGTAATTAAAGATTATTTGGGAAAAAAACAGGAGAGCAAGACATAATAATCTTCTTTAGATTTAATTCAACAATCCAGAGAATAGCCGAAGCTCCATCGTAGATTGTTACTGATTTTGTTTGAGAGACAGCAGGTTCTTAGGAAAATTACAGTATTATTGCCATAAAAATCAAATGGAAGCTCAATGGATATAGATACAGAAAGGCAGAAACCTCCACAGAAGTTGTTTTTAGCCAAATCACTCATTAGATAGGTAGAGAGAACAAAGAAGGAGAAGTTGAAAGGAAAGCATGGCTCCCAGATCCTTAGAAACACTAGGTCTTCTGGGAAAGGGACATCTACGAGACGCTGAGAGATCAATTCTCCATACTGTAAGCTGCAGTGTCCCTTCTCTTTTTGGAGCAACCACACTGCTACCAGAAGCAATTTCTTTAACAGAACATGGCAGCAGTGTGGGAAGCTTGTAGATTACTATTGTCAGCTTTAACTGTTTGTTCTCGTTATCACCTGGAATATATAAAATGTCCAAAAAAAAAGAAAAAAAAAAAAAAAGAAGAAAAAAAGGAAAGCACCCTGGATAACTCACCATTTCATGCTAAAGGACACACCTCTGAGTGAAGACTCTTGACTCTGTTTGAGTAACTCTCTAATATTGCCTATAGTTTCCCATCAAATTAGAAAGAGTTGTGAGGTACCCATATCAGAATAATGTCCCTTCATCTATAGCAGCAAAATCAATCAAAATCCCACAGTGGATATTTTTATGATTGTTGAAGAGATTATATTTAATAAGGCCAATGCATAGAAGGAGCATGTAAGACTCATGAAAAATAACTTACTTGTGTCCAGATTCATGAGCAATTGTAAAAGCCAGTCCAAGGCCTGTATCTTCATTAATGGTGCAACTACGGTATTTGCTGCACATGCCACTGATAGGTGCAAATCCTGAAGGAAGGAAGCAGTAGAATAGCTTGTTCCTCTACAGCATTCTGAATACATACATCATTTGCACTGGTCCTAATAAGCCAGACTACTATGGTGCATGAACATGGTTGTCTGCTTCATCAGGTTTATCATGGAAGAATTACAGCAGACTTTTATTTAACAATAAAGGGATTCTTGTATAAGAAGTGTAAACCAAACCTAACCTCCCAAAATAAACTTTACTTGTAAAGATTATTATTTATCCTCGTCACACCTTTACTGCTCCTGAATGAGAGAGGAATCCCATTCAAAGAGGGCAAGTGGTCACAAAAAAAAATTAAAAAAAAAAAAAATCAGAGTGGCTCAGAAATATTCTCAGAAGTATTCCTTGAAGAGTTGACAATCCAAAAGGATGTCTTCAGATAGCTTATACTGCCACTTTTTCTGGGGCAATGATGCCAGTAATACTCTTGTTCTTCTAGGTACCTTAAAGACAAATATCTAAAAACAATGCTGTTCTTTCCTCTTCAAGAAGGCTAACATTACATGAAAAAAAGGACTTTTTCTTTTCAAACATTTCAGTCTCTATGAAGCAAGATGCTGCTGTTGACACCCATGAGTTTCTATGAATATCTTTTCATATCATACCTAAAGTATCACAGGGCTCATTTTTCCAAGAGCAGATATCAAAACCCGTAAGCAAGATGGCATGGTCATGGCGCTTTCCATTCTTCCCAACCAGAGCAGATTGCCATTGACAAAAGCTGTTCAGTGACTGGTCCGCATGGTGGTTAATCAGTAATCCACCCTGTAGATATTTCACAGACACAGAAAGAAGGTGCTTCCATCAGTGCTTGAGAAAGGTGATTGAAAGAATAAGAGTTGGTTAGGGAAAAGGGAATTACTTTTTCGTATTTGTTCTACATAAACTTATGTATTCCCACGTTAACTGCCAATGATGATCGATTCAGTTGATGAGTGAATCTATTCCAATTGTAAAATAAAACTGCACCTCTCCCCAGATGCAAAGATATTCTCAAAGTCAGTGGTTGGAATTACAGTATACAAATATATTTGATTCCTGATAAAGCTGAACACTTAACCATTTTCAATCTTGTGATTAAAATGTGTGGAGATTTCTGTGGAGAAAAAGTATTATCCAAGTAGATCAACCCATCACAAATTTATTTTCATCAAAAGAGATTTTGTCTTTCATCTCAACACCTTTGTCAAAAGAATTGGCTCCACTCCCACCTTTTGTTACATGCTATGTTCAGTTTAGCACTTTTGACACGTTTGCCCTCCTGATCTTCACATCCTGGAAAGTTGAGTTCAAAATCTTTTTATTTATTTAAATACTTCTTAAGTAGGTTTTTCATTCCAGCCATTTATCTTCAAGCAAATACTGGAAATTGTTAAGTGTTACCTTACTGGAAGCATTTCAGTGTTTCTAAAGAACATTTATATGAAATGAAAGATTTTAGTATGAAAAACTGAGAAGCAGTGAAATTCAGAAAGGGTGATTTTGAAGGTTTTTTGTGATTTTAGTCTTCTCATGCTTTACGTCTTAATAAACCTCTAATGAAAGTTCATGTATGTAATGTGGGAACACCCAGAGCTCCGTGTGAACAGTAGCACATGTAGCACACCACAAAAACTTCTGACACAACTTACAGGCTCTTGTTCCAAAAGAAGAAGGCTCACAACGATAATGTTTATATCACTTCCAATTGTTCCATCTTTAAACAGACTAGAGACCTGCAACAATTATTGAAGAGGAAATATAATCTATGTGTATTATTTTTTTTAATAGACTAAACATATGAATTGAGTTATTGCATTGGGCTTCCATTTTCAATACAAATTAATGGAGCTATGTACCTAGTAGGATTAATGCAAAAGAGCTTAACCCAGAAGAATTATGCCCCAAACCACTACAGTAATTCAAACCACTTGAAAACCTTCTATTGATTTCAATGGGCTTTGCTCTGTCCTTGGTCCCCTGGATCACGTGTAATCAAGTTCAAAGTTCAAGTTTTGTAGTACAAAACTAAAGAGCAAAGCCACAAAGGAAAACATATTTCTAGTTAAATTATATTATTTTTCTCAAAATAAATTTGTGCTTTCTCAAATAAATTTTTGTTTCAAGGAGAGACATCAGACAAAACAGACAAGCTTCATGATACTAAATGAAATAAAAGTTTTAATTTCAGACTACCTGCCCTTTTTGTAGTACACAAGAAGTGTTTTAAAATTTAACACTTTAAAGATTTTCCAATTTATTTTTTTTTTACCCTACAGTACTATTGCCAGAGCTGTGATAATCTAGGGTTGTATTTTTAAAGAGCTTTTTGACATAAGTAATACATTAGATGAGGGTTGAAGAAAGGCTTGTGTAAAGTGCCCCTACTCTTTTTGGTATTGCTATTTGTCTAATGAAAGAGCCTACTCAGACATAACAATATTCCACAGGGAAAACATACTCCAGTTACACCACATCTTACCATATTCATAACCGTTAAGATGTATGTTGTTACATTTTCCTTGCCATGTTTCTCCAGCATTTTTTTATCTGCCACAACAAGGGTTTCAACATTTAGACTTCCATTTTTTTGAATTTTAGCAGATGATCTTTTGAACCTTGAAGAAGTCCCATATTCATCTGAGCGAATGTATGTCTCTTCTGTGGGTGGCTTAGGTGCATCTGAAAGGAAATAAAACTCAGTTTTGGAAAGGCTTCAGATCACCCATGAACAGTTTCATCAGAAAATGAAGTACCACAGGTTTAGAGCCTTAGATTATTTTTACAGTATGTGATTTAATACTTATGGCTAAGTTCTTGTATATTTATTAAAAAAGACTTGATTCATTCCTGAGCGAAGGATGGCTACAGGGAAAGACAGAAATGGGAGAACCACATTTGTATGCAATAAGCAGTTTAAAATAAGGAATTAATCTAATAAAATGGTAGCATCGGAGGTAAAAAATACACACAGAATTTTAAACATAATATCCACATTTTTCCTGTCCTTTTGATAATTTCCTGAGGTGTTTGGCATGTGCTACTTACAGAAGTTGGTAAAAAAGTCCTTTCCAAAACAGATGTCCACCATCAGTAGAGAAAGCAGACACACACCACAAGTAAGATTGCTGCCAGGCTGCTCTTGTGATTGACACAAATGTGCCTCCTATTCAAATCTGCCACTGAGAT